TTAAATTAAGTTACTATATTGGGGAAACCCTATTATTTACTATATATACCCATTATGGTAACCCTAAACCCTAAACCCATCATGGTAACTTAATTTAAGTTCCTTAACAGCAACCCAGAAGAGTGTGTGTTTGTTCTCTTGGCGGGGTGGTGAGTGTAGGTTCAACGTTGACAACATCTGGGTTTGGTGCTAGAAGCCAAATGTTGCTGGACTGTGAGGTGATCCCCACCAGCTGAAAGTCGATAGTAAGAATATAGGTTTAGGGTTAAGGGTTCATTCTGATAGCAGTATACCATGCTCCTCCGCTGTCGCCATTAGGTCGATGGGTGGTCCTTTCTTCCTGCTAGTTCCAACCAGTTTTTCTGGGTCCAGAGTTTGGCTTCGATGGCTCGAATCCTCAACAATTCACCCCACGCATGCCTCCACCCCTGCGGAACGCAGGTTTAAGGTTGAGGGCGTGCAGCCTTTGATCCCTAACTCAAAGACAAAACCTTTTCTTTACCATGCAAAACTACCGCCCAGGACCACCTGCACCCCGCAGCCTCATTATGGTGCATTTGGCCTATTTCTATGTGAGGTATATATAGTCACGAGTCCCTAGCATCAGTGAATCAGGCCTCCACAAAGAGACCCTCATTTCGTGTGAAACCCTCCATGTCCGCCCTAAACCCTAAACCCCTATGTCCCTGCCCTCAAGTCCTTGATAACCGTCAGTTCCATCTGAAGCTGCGGGAGCGTCGGATTGTGGAGCATCTTCCTGGGTCCATTGGCTACGGGAAAAAGGCACTATAATCTACTATGACATACTAAAATATGCTACTATCATATGATCACGCTGGAAGATCACTCTATTCTGGAGAATCAGAAATGGCGCAGGGCGTCTTCTACCCACGTTTCCATGTGAGAGCAGTGGGTGCACATGATTGTCCGGAAGACTGACCAGTTCAGGGTCTCCCTAAACGACCCCTCCTTATCTGGTATACTATGCTGCGTGAAGGGAATCCCTATTGCCCCAGCTACAAGCCGAGACACAAGGTCTTGCAACAGCTCTTTGAATCCTCGCCCATAATTGCCCAGTGCCTCGGGCTCATGAGCAATCTGGCAGAGCACGAGTGCTCACTTAGGGTTCCTGCAATATGTGAGCCATTGTCTAAACTCCTAGAAACCCCTTCATAATACTCCCCTATATATAATCCCCTACATAACCACCCCTTTAAGGAGTTTAGACTATAGCTCATATGATGTACTGGCTTGTCTCTTATTTGGGCTCGGAAGTTGGGGTGCGCGTCAGTGTTTTCTCAGGTTTCGGGGTTTACGTTCGGTTTTGGTGGGTGTGTGCTCGACCTCCTATCCACACACTTCGGCGGCTAGGGCTTACCCTTGTGATAACTAACTCCTATGACATACACAAAACTTGCATCCTACAGGTGGATCATACAGGGTCCTGGAGGGTCAGGAGGACTCAGTGAGCAGGTTACTAACCCTACTGGTAACCCTAACTGTCCCCATTCCATTGTGAACCTACTTAACTACTCAGTACCCTGACTCTCCAAGTAGAAATCCCCTGAAAGGATGATAGAGGTGTAAAGTGAACAAAGTTAAAGGTCCAGGGTTTAGGGGTGGGGCTGGGCCGGCCGATTGCTAACGTACACGCGGGGAGTGGATAAGGGAATGGGAAAAATGGAGCTACAAACATACTCAAGGCTAAGGTTTTAGGATGGCAGCGGCAGGAAATTCAGGAATGGGTTACAGGGACCATCACAACGAATTCTGTAGGGACTTCTATCCAGTTCCATTCGTCCGCCCCCTACTAGCGACCAGTAAACCAAGCACGACCAAGACCAGTGTCCCCATAGAAGCTATGGCCGTTCTTCTTCCTACTGTGTTTTTTGGGAATACTTGAGGTCATGCTATAGCCGGTCCTGGTTGCGAATCGCATTGAGATGACTATGATTATGAACTCTGAACTAGCAGTGGCTGCAGGTCCGCAGTTATGGTCCCCCCTAAGTAGATAGAATATGGCTTTGGGTGTATGATAATAAGAGCCCCATATAACCCATATTCTATCTGCTTACAGGGGACTATAACAATTGGAACGATGATTGGGTGTCTCCGGCTCAATGGATTTAACGTCCAGGTTTTAGGGCTCTTTTGCAGGGAAGATTACGGGAAGAACCTTTCAAGCCAAGGAGCCAGCCAACTTCTGACTGCAATTCCACAATAACCCCCATCCCCCTATTACACCCCTCCCCCTAACATCAGATATTCCCTGAATATGCTCATATAACCCAATGGAAGTATTTGATATTAGCGGGCGGGGTTGGTGGTTGAATGTTAGGGCAGGGGCTCAAGGCTTGGGGCTTCAGACATGACGCAGGATGTAAGGCTTGCTACTCCCTTCCGCCTCCGCTGCATAATTTCGGGCCTACTTAACCTTGATATAGATGCCTGGCAAGACTCTGTCTGGATGCTGACTTTTCTTCATGATATAGGGCTTAGGGTAACGGGCTGGAATCACTGCACACCGGGGGTCATATTAGGGTCCCATATATTTGGAAACTTCTACATAGGCCCCAAAAAGTTCAAGGCTTCCTACTCAGCTGCTGAGGAAAATGCTTAGGGTGTAACGCATAAAGGCGTGGATCCCTATAGTAGTCCTTGTGCAATTCCTTGTGCTATTCTCTAGACAACTAATCCGCTGACCATCAGTAAGGGTCGGGAAGGCTTCCTAGGTAAGTTAGTAACCCCTGTAACCCATATAGTAAGCCTAATTACTAATCATGCCCGTTCACCTACTTGCTAAGTCCCCCTAACCCTCCAAGAACCCAAACCCTAAACCCTAAACCATGTAGCTGAGGTTTAAGGCCTCGAAGTGGCAAGCCTTGTCTTTACTTCTGGCTCGAAACCATGAGTGGCTACCAGTGAGGTTCAACATGCGCCGAGAAAACCTAGTAAGTGGTTTAGGGTTCAGGGTTTAGGAGCTTTAAGTTGAATAGTTGGGTGTGCAATTTAGGGTATAGGAAATACCCTTACATAAGGCTTACATTAGGCTTCTATGACAAGACCAGGCGTGTATAAGGGCTATGTGTGAAACTATCCACCTGAAACTTCCTTAGAAGCAATGTCTACGCCAGATACCTCACCTGCAGCCCTAAGCATCCTCACAACTAAACGTGAACCAAAGAATCGAAACCCTAAACCCTAGACCACACTTCCTAAGCTCTCCTCCAAAACCTATATCGAAAGCTCTCATCTCTTAACCCCGCATGATACACCCTCCTGGTGGTTAACAGGGAATGATGAAATGGATTCTACCTCATAATAACCCCTATATCATATTCCGTCATGCAACAACACCCTAAACTCTAAACCCTTCGCCCCAAAACCTCAGACAGCCAAGAAGAAGCTCTTAAAGTCGTATGCAACAAGCACAGATACAGCTCCGTAATGGCGGTCTTCTCAGTAACGGAATCTCCGATTGAGAGGACATTTTTCCAGGGGTTTTTGCCGTAGAGCCTCACTTGGATCAGAAATGAAATTGCAAAATATTCTATTATTATCAGAGTTTAGGGGGTCAGGTGTGATTCATAAGTATGTTAAAATGGGGATGACTACGTTACTGTGTGGACGACGGGGGATTGGTTACTTGGACCCAAGAATCCCATTTAAGCCCTGAACCGTAAAAATCGCTCCTGCCGAAGCCCCAATACCCAATTATGAGGTATACGAAGCCTTTTGGTTTCTTTGTTGTGTAAAAAAGTTGAGCAAAACCCTGATTTAGACCCAAGGGCCTTTTAAGCCTTGGCTCAAGCATGGTCCGAAAAGGGTCCAGGGTTAAGGGTTTAGCGCTTAGGGAGTTTTAGTTTAGGGTTCAGGGTTTAGGGAGTTAGGGTTTTGGGTTTTGGGAGCTAGGGTGTAGGGGGTTGGATTTGTAGTGTTTAGGGGAACCACTTGCTAGCTGTAAAGCTCCCTCCATCCCTCATCGTGCTGATGGCCCCCAATTTGCTCTCGATGAAGGAGATGGGCATATTGTTGAAGGCGGTACGGTCGATGTACTGTCCAAATGAAATCATTCATGCTGCCTTGTTTGAACTTTTCGCTAAGTTCTCGAACAACTGTTGTCAGGATCACACCACATTCGGCGGCTCCACCATTTTTGTAGTCTTTCAATGTTTTGTAATTATTCACATGGCTTTGGGGTGTAGTGATGTTGCCCACCCCAAACTTTCTGAGAATACACTTGACCGAACCAAGGGTTGGGGCTTTAGGCTTTGGTTTAGCCACCTGCCCCCGAGAATGGGCCTCCGAACCAAAACGGCCTCGTAGGGTTTAGGGTTTAGGGTTTTAGGGTCCCCAATAATCCCTGACACCCCATGATTGGAGCCTGAGCATCCACCGAATCAACACATCCCTGCGAATTAATTAACGGAAACCCATGGAAACTCCGAAAGTAATCCCATCTCGCACTAATACAGTTAACAATGAAGCCCCCAACCACAGGAATCTGCATATTCGCAATTTATCAAGACGTCCTATGGGTTGTTCTCAGAATTATGGGCCCCATTTGGCTATGGATATTATATTACGGCACCTAACATTTGGGGGTACCAAAATAGGGCCCTAATTTTGGGAACTACCCATGTCCTAGTGAGAATGTTGATCGTTAGAGTGGGGGGGCGTTTTTGCTCTGAAGGGTCCTCGCTACTAAGTTCCAGGCGCCTCACATTTGTGGGCGAGAGCTAATAGGATTGGGTTTAGGGTTTAAGGTTCCAAACAGAACCTATCAAAATCTGACAAAATCATCTCACACCCAATCTCTTCAGACAGAAACACCACAAACTGCGTGCTGCCAAGGAACTTACATGAAGTTACTAGAAGGAAACCTTATTCTTTACACTATACCCATGATATAGCAATTTCAATTTAGCTCGTTCCGCAACAGCAACCCAGAAAACAGACAAGCAGCCGTTTCAGGACTTTTTTCATGGCCTGCTCCTGGGGCCGTGGCTAGCTCCAGAAGGCTAAAACCTTGAAACCCTACATGCATAGGGTTTAGAGTTTAGACTTTAAGGTTTAGGCAAGTATTGGGATACATTGCAAGGTGAAATCAGTAAAGGAAACTCTTCAAATACCAGCTCTGGTATAGACACTCCGCTTTAAACCCTTAATAGGCATCTTGGGTTGAGGGCTTAGGGTTCCAGCATGCAACGCCTGTTGGGAAAGAACTGCTCATGTTCTCTAGCTCATGGCGGAACCTTGAACCCCAAACGCCTAAATCCTAAGCACTTCAACCTTGAATGCCAAACCCTACACCTAACAAAACAAAACCTGTGCCCTAAACCTTAATTCCTAACCTTTCTTGGCTGCCGTGGCATGGCAGCAAAACAAAAAAGGGCGGGTCTTGAAGATATCCTGAGCCCTGAACCCCTACGCCCTAAATCCTACACCCTGCGTTTCGCATCCCTGACCGCGTTCCTTGGCCATGGTTAGAGGGCAAACACCTTCTTCAAACTCCCCATCGGGACTTCGCATGTGGTGCTTCTTCCTTGCGGGCGTTTGGGGTTTACATAGGGTTTACGTAGGGTTTACGGCTGAGCGTCCACGAGCGTAGAGCCTAAAATAATTGGATATGGGGTGCAGATTCCGGGGACTGGGCTTCAGCTGTGGAAGCAGGTGGTACTGTGGGTCCAGTAGAAAAGGTTTAGGGTCTAGCGACTTCATACCCATGAAAGCCTGAAAGATCATCGCTTGACTCCTCTTACGGCGAAGACTGCCACCAAAATCCTAAACTCTAAACCCTAAAGCTAGAGAATACATCTGGTGTGGCCTTTGCAATACTCGTGCTTGGAGGTCTAGGGTGATAAGTAACCCAAGTGTAGGCACCTTGGGGGACTTGTAAGTGGATTAGGGGCATGTTGTGTTCTTTCTTAAACATTGCAAGCCTAGCGTTTTTGAGCGGAGCATGGATATGATTAGAGAACTTATAGTATTTGGGGTTATGCAACGGGTTGCCACTTTTCTGGAACCCCACATAACCTAAGCAAATCAAAATCCTACGGTGGATGGAAGAAATCGCGGTGCCTAGTCTCATGTCCTACACCACGGTGCCACGCAGGACTTAGGAACCCTAGACTACCGTAACTCTGCGCCTGCAGGGTATACAAGGGGTGATAAGATTGGTGGTCCCTTCACAACGGAGGCACTTAAACTGAAGCTTAACGGCTTGGTACCCTCAACAGAAACAAGGGCAGACCTCCACGATAGCTGCCTGTTACCTACACCGTGGAGGTTCCCATAAATGGGGGTCACAGCAGATGGGGGTTGATAGTGGGGTCCCGCATTTTTGAAAACCAGCATGTAGCTTGCCCCAAATGCTTCCCCACCTAAGCCATCCCACTCGGGTTACTCTGTCTCGTGAACGTTAACGCCCTGACCTCTCACATAAGGGCCCCTGCAGAGAGATCTGAGATTGTATTCAGAGGAAAGCATCCGTAATCTTCAAGAGAGGTATAGTCCCCCTTAAGTAGATAGAATATGGCTTTCGGTATATTATGATAAGATCCCCACATACCCCATATTTTATCTACTTAAGGGGGGCTGTAAGTGCGCAAAGAAGCCCGGACCATCAAACTTTGTCTTGGGGCATGTTCCTGAAAATCTTCCTTCGGCTTCCAAGGTAGAAAACGTGTATGGGCTACAGGGTTTAGGGTTTAGGGTTACAGGGTTTAGGGTTTAGGGTTTAGGGTTACAGGGTTTAGGGTTTAGGGTTTAGGGTACATGGTAGTTTCCATAAATAGGGGGACCTGACTATAGGCGCCAAGCTGCTATGATCCTTATTATAGGGACCCCCAGCACGGGACCCCTAATTTTGAGAACCTCCGGAAACCCTGAATCCTACAAACCTCCTATAAACAAAACCTTTTAACCCCCATGTATAAGGGACACCTAGACCCTGAGCCCTGAACCTTCAACCCTAGACCCTAAACCCTTGGTCACCCTAATGATATTGACAGTAGCTCACATGCGCTATAGTCTAAACTCCTAGTATCTCCCGTAACAACCTATATAATGATCCCCTATAGACTCCCTACATAATCCCTCTTTTAGGACTTCAGACTATAGCTCACCTGGCATTGGGGCTTGAATTGTACGTCCCCACTGAGAACTACCAAGCCGCAACCTAGCAACTCCGGGTTACTCTTAAGGAACTTCGCACCAGTGTCTTAGAGCTTAAGGTTTGGGGTTTAGGATTTAAGGTTTGAGGCTGAAGGATTCTTAGTCACCATAATGTATGTAATGCTATAGTGGGAAAATGGACATGAAAATGGAAAGTACGATTTTGGGTTAGGGGTAAAGGTGCATCTTGGGATTTAAGGAGTGCAAACGAAGATCCCATAATGGAGAATATCGAGTGGAAAGGAATCTGTAAAATGACGTGGAAACTGGCGCGTATGGGGTAACATTTGACATGTAAGGAAGTTGCCATAATGCAGAGATATAGTCAATAATATGGCCTCCGTATACCCAAATACTGGTAATTTGATTGAAGTTCCTTAACAACAGTCGCGAACTTTTGGCCAAGCTACACACACTCCCGCGAGTAGATGAGAGGAATTTGCAGCTCCTCTAACCTTTTACGGTCCAGGGTTTACTTGGAGGGTCAGAGGGACTTAGTAAGTAGGTTATAATGTTAATAACTAGGGTTACTACAGGTGTATAGGGGTTGCTAACCTACTTACTAAGTCTCCCTGACCCTCCAAGTAGGGTTTGAGGCGTAGGGTCTGGAAATCAAAAGCTTTTGAGAGGCTTTGATTCCTGGGAGTGAGGTTTGGACATGACTTTTCTGGATTTAAGGCTTTTTTTTAGGGTTTAGGATTTAGGGTTTAGGGTTTAGGATCTAGCATTTGGGGTTTAGGATGTAAGGTTTAAGGTTTCGGGTTGGAGTTGGAAGCTGGGCACAGGGCACTTGGAGGTTCGTGCGTTGGTCTTAACTCAGCTCAAATGAAAGCAACTCTCAGTAGACCTGGTTACTCTAGAGTAACCCTCCTAGCAGCAAATTAGAATCGTAATCTCAAACTTGCGGATTGGCATCTGACAAGGAAGGTGTTTGGAATAACCCCTGCCCGTACCAAAATGTAAAGCTTAAAAGGGGGACTACTGTCCTTTGACACTGGCAAGGAGTCTATGTAAACGTTATGTGGGGTAGTATGCTATCCTCTTTATGGCAAAAAGGTAAGTAGCATTCACCCTAAGCCCTAAACCCTAAACGAAAACTCATGAGCCCTCATACTCCCGTCCATCATCACCAGGTCTCCTGGTACCGAACTTGTATACTTCTCCAAAAGAAAAACCTATACTTGTATAGTCCCCCTTCAGTAGCTAGAGTATGGCTTTGGCTGTATGGTAATAAGATCCCGATATACCTCATGTTCTATCTATTTAAGGGTGACTATACAACTAAGCTGGAAGAAAACAATTCAGACATTATGCAAACTTTAGCTGGAAATTTGTTACAGCGAATTGGACCTTAGTAAACCTCGAATATGTGTTCAACATTGTCCAACCACGACCCCGTCTGGAAGAGCAGAGCTTTACATGCCTTTTAATCCTGAGAGCTTGGGGTTTAGGGTTTAGGCCTTCAGGTTTAGGGTTGAGGGCTTAGGGTTTAGGGCTTAGGGTTTAGGGTTTAGGGCTTAGGGTTTACAGCTCAGGGTGTAGACAGCACAGGCTACTGTCTGCTGCTGTTCGCTGCCCCCTTTTTCGACAACAATCCCTAAACCCTAGGCCCTAAACCCTAAGCTCTAAACCCTAAGCCCTAAACCCTAAACCCAAAGATGAAGTTGTAGAGTTTAAGGTGCTTGGTTTACTAAGTTGTCCTGTTCAGGCTTTAGGGTGCAGGTGGCCAACAACTTAGAGCAAGTCTGGGGAATTTTTTTCGAGTGGCAGAGGCAAAATTGTGACACTGATGAGAAGGCCGCTGATAAGATGTATCCGCAGCGCCCTGTGTAGTCCTTTTCCTCTTGAGAAGGCACAACTCCATGATCTAAACAACATATGTGTTACAAACAGGGCCACCCGAAGAAGGTAGACCATCAGCGAACTAGGGAGTTTGAGGGCAGAAGCAGATCGACTTTAGTGTAGGCATGCCCCCACCCGACACAATGAGTCCTACCCTTGATGCATAGTTGACAAAGGGCTCGCTCCTGGTATAGAAAACTCATCGCAGCCCCTCAAACTAAACACTAAACACCCTCAAACCTAAACCCTAAACGCTAAACCCTAAACCCTACACCCTAAAACCTAAACCCTAAACCCTAAACCCTCAAACCCAAAGTTTCATGCCAAAAGCCGCCTCCCTGATTCCAAGCGCCTGAACCTCTGAACCCAACGCCCTTGAAAACCGAAACCTCCGACCCCTAAAGCTCCAAAACACCTGCACCATCCTACACCCAAAACACTAACCTTAAACACCTACTAATCCCGTCCCCCTAATGTGAAACCCCCCACCCCCCCGCTAATATTAAATACTCCCAAAATATGTATATGTATATATATGCTATACCACATGTCTGGGAGTATTGTATATTAAGGGGGGTGAGGGGTTTAACTTTAGGGGGAGGGGATTGCTCTTTGGTGCGGCCCCGGGTGCAGAGCTTCGATATCCTGGGTCACCGCTGTAGCCCTCTGAACCCAAAACCCTTTTACACCTGGAGCTAAACCCTAAACCTTGGGTATTGCCCCCCCTCAGTAACAGTTGGATAATAAATATAATATGGTTATATATAGCCCTTAATAGAACCCCTAATATAGACTGTTACTGTGTGGGGGCAGTACCCAACCTAAACCCTTCTACACCTGGAGCTAAACCCTAAACCCTGAACCCCTAAACCCTAAACCCTAAACCCCTAAACCCTAAACCCCTAAACCCTAAAACCCTAGGTTGTAGGGTTCCCCGTTAAGGGTTTAGGGTTTAGGGTTTTGGGTTTTGGGTCTGGGGTATAGGGTGTAGGGTTTGGAGTCCCCCTGAAGTAGATAGAATATGGGTCCCTTTAAAGGGGTTATATAAGGATTATATGGGGATAATGGAAAAGAAAATGGAAACTACAATTTAGGGTTTAGGGTTTTTAGTCTCCCTTAAGTAGATAGAATATAGGGTATGTGGGGATCTTGTTATAGAAAATCCCAAAGCTGGGGGATTATAGGCGTTTTGGGGTTTAGCATTTTGGGGTTTAGGGTCTGAAATATAGGGTTTAGCGGGGAGTTCCCAACATTAGGTGTACTCTTGTGGGGGTCACCATCGTGAGGATTATAATGTTTGGGGATCTACGTTGGGGCCGCCTCGTTTCTCCGACCTACCACCTAAACAATGTTACAAACACAAGGAAACCATGCGATTTGACGTTTCCATGTTATGGTAACTTAACTTAAGTGACTGCCTTGACAGCAACCCAGAAAAGTCGCGGTTAATACGGTTGACCGTCTAGGGCTTCACTTCCTCAACAATATGCGAGGTTTCAAGGCCGACAGACCCC